AAGATCTCCTCACTTGGTAGAACTTGACTTCCACTTCCCACTTGTTGATAGGGGTTAACCATATGGGAGTTCCCTTGGTATGTCCTTACTTCGGCGGATGCGTCGTTGTAAGCCTGTGCCATCACCTCAGAGTAAGTCTTCCAAGTGTTGGCATTAATCATGTACTTGAAGAAGCAATCACATAGGCCTGCCATGAAGGCTTTGAGGGCGGTCTTGTCATCTGCCTTAGTGCAACAAGAATATGCATGGCTGAAGCGACCAGCATACTCTTGTAATGACTCATCCGGCTTCTGGCAAATAGTGTACAAGTCATCTGCAGAATGTAAGCGATCATTCTGGAAGATGTGTTGAGACAAACAGTTTCCTTAGTTCCTTAAATGAGTCTACTATCTCAGGTGGAAGACGACAATACCAGTTTAGAGCTTTGCCAGATAGGGTGGAAGGGAAGAGAAGACATCGCTCTTCGTCGGTGTGCATCTGATATGCCATGGTGAACTCAAAGAGGTTAAGGTATTCAATCGGGTCCTCATTTCCAGTATAGAGTTGTAAACAAAGCTTTTGTTTTGTTTTCGCTTGAAGAGGGGTGTCGAGGATCCTTCTTGTGAGAGGGCCAGGCTTGGGTTGGTTCCAGTTAGGTATCTCGGCCTGACGTTCGGCCTTCACCTTGTTTACTTCCTCAAGAAGCTATAAGACAAGGAGGTCTTAAGTGTAGTCATGTACCACTAGAATTTTGTTTCGTAAGTCTCAATCGTCTCTTAGAAGTAGGAAAGTTTGAGCAAGAGCGTGTGGTTTTTCCTTGGGATCGTCGTACTGACTTCTAGGGCGAGTCTGTCAGAATACCTCCAAGTCCTCTGTACCTTCATGTTCCTCTGGGACCTGTCGTTCCTTCTCTAGATTGGCAATCGGCCAGGGCCGTGGTAGATGACCGAGTCTCTCAGAAAGCCTTGGTTTATTGATATTTGAGCTTATATGGATGAAGTTCTCTCGACGTTGCTTCAGGAAGTCCCGACAATCGTGATAAACAGCTTTCGATCCTTCCGCCCCTTCCGTAAGGAGGTGCCTTCCTCCACTTCTCCTACTTCTTGAAGCAATTGGGTTGAGAGAAGTCTCATGTTGATTATCACATCGATGGGTAGCTCGCTCCCTATCAGGGATATCTATGTCGAAGACAGGTGACCCTTCGTGTTGGGGAGCACCCAGTTGATGGTTAACTTCCACGGGGGCAACAAGCTCATGTGTTTGAGCATGCCTAGCTTCGTGGAGCGTCTCAAAGAGCTTCTCATATTGCTCCTGGAGGACCTTATTCTTCATTGCTATCTTTTTGTTTTAAGCTTCTAGCTCATTGACTTTAGCTTGAAGAGTAACCCTCTTTCCTTCCTTCTTTCGTTGCTTCGCACTAGGTGCAAGAGGGGTGTCATTCTGTGTACTGTGGCTTCCTTCTCTCCCCATGTTGGATAGGGATGCCTGGTTAAAAGAGAGTGTACGAATGGTGGAAACCAACTTGACAAAGCTGAAGAGATTGAGAATAAGTGTCGTTCCCACATACGGCGCCAAATGTTGATGCACAAAAGCAGTGAGGACTTTGGTACAACAGAAAGTGTCAAGTTTGTGACCTTTGCTAGATTGCTCCGGTCACTAGTGTGGATAAGTATGTAAATGGATAGAGACAGGGAAGCAAACACAAGATGTACGTGGTTCACCTAGATTGGCTACGTCCACGGAGTAAAGGAGTTCTCATTAATTGTGAATGGCTTACACAAGTACATAGGTTCAAGCTCTCCTTTAGCGAGTACTAGTAAATGATTTAGTACAAATGACATTAGGAAATATTGTGGGAGAATGATCTCCTTTTATAGAAGAAAGTTTCTAGCTTTGTTCTAATATTGACAAGTGTCGTGTTGTGATTGGCTTCCAATGTTGACACTTGTCGCGCTATGATTAGCTTCTGATGTCGCGCTGTGATTGGCCTTTTGGTTGGAGGAAAACTCTTATGGGTCCTTGACGGTATAACGTTGACCGGTGCTCAGTAGTTTCGCGATTGGTCAAGTATGGTACAAACATCTTCCTTTTCAAAAATAGTGTTAGTAATTTTGGCTCAGTTTCATAAATAATGTGTAATTTTGTGGTTGTTCTAGAAATAGTGTGCATTATTTTTTGTTCAATTTCGCAAATCGTGTAGGTTATGTTGTTGTATTTCTTGAAATAATGTTTATTTTGTTCCCTTCTAAAAATAGTGTGGGTTATTTTGGTTCAGTTTCTGAAATAATGTGAGTTATTTTGCTATAGTTCTAAAAATAATGTGGGTTATTTTGCTGTTATTTCAAAAATAGTTTTTATTTTGTTCTATTCCCTAAATGGTGTGGGTTATATTGGCTCAGTTTAAGAAATAGTGTGGGTAATTTTGCTGTAGTTCCAATAATAGTGTGGGTTATTTTGGTTCAGTTTCAGAAATAATGTTAGTTATTTTGCTATAATAGACACTATTTATGAAACTGGATCCATAAGTGGACACTATTTAAGAAACAAAACCAAGAATTGGACACTATTTTAAAACAAAACCAATAGATGAAAACTATTTATGAAATTGGACTATACACTATTTATGAAACTAGACCAATATCTAGACACTATTTATGAAACTGGACTTATAAGTAAACACTATTTATGAAATGAAACCAAGACTTAGGCACCATTTTTAAAATTGATAGAGGATAAATGAGCATTAGAAAGCAATGTGAGTCAATCCCTGCATACAACGTGTTTAAATCCATCTTACAAACCTTTGTAATGCTCACATAATGCACTTCTAATCCTTCCTATCTAACGTTTGGTGATCTGATCCCTTTACTCACTTGACATCAAAATTTTGGGATTTGAAAGTTTTAACATTTTTCATGTTATAATTTGACATTTACAATTAAGATATAGTTGCATCACAAACACGAGACTTATAATCTGAACAAGTTCAATACCCTTTTTCCCATATGATGCTAATTTTTAAGAAATCTATCACCTTCCCCAACAAATTTATTCATGAAATAATTCAAAACATAAATTAACTTTCATCAAAAAATTCTCAGAACTATTTCCTACCTACCACCCATCCAGATTCAACTTCGTTTTCCAAAAACAAATTATATTGATTAATAAGGACTAGGAGCTGTATGTGCATATGCAATAACTTTAATGACACACTTATTGCTAATTAACAATTAAAGCCCAAATCAAGATCCCAAAATCTCAATTAAAGATAGCTTAAGCTGAATTATTTTCCCTAAACCTAAAGTAAAGACCAACCCAAAATCCCATCAAATATCCTTCATGATTCCCAACAGCAGCAGATTCCATTTCAGTTAAACAAAACATATTAGATAATATTCTACCACATACAAAAGTTAGAATAAAAAATATGAAAAATAAAAAATCACATTACCAGGGGGAAAAATTGGGGGAAAACTCAAATAAAACTCAATCTTTGGAAAAACTAAAAACATCTCGTAATCTCTACTAATTAATAAAACCCTATTTGTTAATCAAAAGAGGGTGAAAAGACAAATTAGTCTTCTATCACACAAAAAAAAAATGATGGGCAATAATGTAATTTCATAGGTCCAAATTTTACTATTTTTTATTAAGCCTCACCTAAAGGTGATGTTAAAATACCTCCAATATTTATAAAAAATAAAAAATAAAAAATAACCCAAAAACAAAAACATCCCACTCCCCCCACATTCTCTCTTCCTCTCTCCTTCTCATTTTCTAAAAAAATATGTTCATACACACAAAGTGTGTAGGCATATATATGAGAAGTGAGAACCCTAGAAAGGGAGGTAAGAAAATCACCAGATTAAAGAGTACTTGTGCTTATATGCTCTTTTGTCTCATCTCTTCCTCCTTCTCCTTGTCCATGGCATTAATCACATGATCACAGGAATAATGGAAGAAGTGAGAATTTTGGCCAAGTCTGTGTGTTTGCAAAGTTATATGGGCTCTAAAGCTCAAGGGTGTGAAATATGAGTACATAGAACATGACCTTTCCAACAAGAGTGAACTTCTGTTGCACTGTAATTCAGTTTACAAGAAGGTTACAGTCCTTCTTCACCGAGAAAAACCGATTTCCGAGTCGATTGTCATCCTTGAATATGTTGAAGAAACTTGGACAGAGAATTATTTGTTGCTTGAAGATGCTTATGATTCGAAAAAATGGTGGATTCGAATGGAAATGAAAATGAAAATAGAGATTGGGTGGAGAGATCGAGAGAGAAGTAGAGAGATCAATTCAATTACAAAAATGGAGGAATTGTTTCTCTGCAAAGGAAAGATCGTGATGAGGCGGAGGGCTTGAGAAATGGAGATCGAGAAATAGAGATTAGGTGGAAAGATCGAGAAAGGGAGAGAGGATTAAACGGAAAAAAAATTGTCGTTAGGGGTAGCCATTAAATAAACTTATTATTTGATTTTTGGTTAAGATTCAAAATTTTGAAACACTTTTAGCTCTCGTTTGGATACGCTTTTAAAATAATTGAAAGCGTTTTTTGTGAAAATGATTTTAGAACCAATCCTTAGTAAAAATGCAAGTAAATCCTGAAAAAGTTTTTAAAGTGCTTCCTAGAAGAAGCACATACAGAAGCACCAATTATGTGTTTTTGGAATCCAAAAAACATTTTCTCTAAATGTGCTTTCAATTATTTTAAAAGTACATTCAAAATAGCCCTTAATTAGCTTTGCTTATTTTTTATACTTCAAATATTTTAGCCGTCAAGATTATAAAGGCATACGTCCAATCCAATCAATGGCTCCACAACTCGCCAACCAACTCATCACCCTTTTGAACAAACAAATCAGTCGAACAAAGCGACGGTGCTGGTCTTTCCACGTTATCATGCAGCTCATCCTGCTTTCGATTATGGACACGTGGAAAGCCAGTCGTTCATCGTACACAAACCTCGCACGTGCAGAAACTCTACGATAACAGGCCAGATCAGTTAGTCGCACGTACGAAACGCTTCCTATATAAATTCACTCCGACTGTAATTTGGAAGGCAGAAGCTGCTCTGCTGAAACGAGAAAGAGCGAACCTCCCCTCCCTGGCTCGCCGGAATAATCCCAATTTCCAGGTTTGAAATATCTGCCATTTATTTATTTTACAAAAAAGCTCAAGATTTCTATTTAAATTAATTATTATTTCTGTTTTCTTGTTTCATTGTTTCATTGTGTGAGGATATTTTCAGTTAGATTGGTGATTTATAGTTTGATTAATTTTGCTTTGTGATCATCATTTCAGTAATCCAATAGAAATGATCGTTTTTCCGGCGAATTCCGTTTCCAAGCTGACCTAGTAATCTGCCGAATAGCGTAGAGAAAGGGGGGAATCTCATTTTCGTTTTGCCAACTTGGGTTAAGGAGAATTCCATTATTTGTTGGTGGTCATGCCGTACCGTGTTCGTGAAAATCTATTCATCGGCAACATCAGCGATGCAGCAGAGATTCTCCAAAATGGTAGCACAGAGATCACGCATATTCTATCGCTTCTTAGTTCAGCGTCAATATCGTTTTTCTTCGAATGGAAGGGTTTAACAATTCCCACCACGGAAATTAAGAAGGTGTATGCTGGCGGGTCTGGTGGTGCCTCGGCTTCCGAGGGTGATTCCGGTGACGGGAAAAAAAGTTGTTCAGCGTCCGATAAGCTTCTGTACTTGTTGGAATATGCAGGCAAGGATTTGAAGCTGGTGAGAATGGGGGTTCCACTAAGAGATATGGAGAATGAAGATTTGTTGGATCATTTGGACGTGTGTTTGGATTTTATTGATAAGAGTAGAAAAGAGGGGTCTGTTTTGGTCCATTGCTTTGCTGGCGTGTCTAGAAGGTACTCATTATTTTGACCCTTTATCGTTCTTCTGTTTAGTTTTGTTCTGGTTCTCGTTAATACCTTCAAGCAGCTTGATTACCACAAGTGAACGTAGCTGCAGTTAGCTCTGTGTTGGTATTCATTCAACTTGATTCTAGGAACAACAAAGTTCTGTTTAAAGATACTTGTCCTCTTACCGAACGTTATGCAAATCCATTTCTTATAGCAAATCCACAATTGTTGAATAAAAGGTCGTACCCAGTGCACAAGGCTCCCGCTTTACGCAGGGTCTGGGAGAGGTGAATGTCGGCTAGCCTTACCCCCATTTATGGAGAGGCTGCTTCCAAGTCTCGAACCCGAGACCTATCGCTCATGGGCGAAGGCACTTGCCATCGCACCAAGTGCGACCTCTAAATCCACAATTGTTGAATGCGTACGATAAATTATCTTTGAACCCTTCATAAGGCTGAAACAGCATGTGAATTTTTTATAGTCTACCTGCTTTTACTGCGTGTCTTTTAATACTATTTTTGCTTGTTGGGACCGATAGTGTATCCTCTTCTCTTTTGGGTTTTATTTTTCTTAAACATGTAAGTTTTGTTAGAAAAGTTAACAATTAGAGCTGCGCACAATTCTGCAAACATATATCGGAAATTGTCAAAAGGCCCACATGCTCTTAGTTTTTCCAGTTTTCTGAATCCAAATTTATGGCATTTTCAACCTTATTTGCATGTGTCCATTGCAGTGCAGCTATCATTACAGCATACCTGATGAGAACAGAACATCTATCACAAGAAGGTGTGACAAATCCATTTTAAGTATTGCTAGTCTTCATATATAGCTTATTGCTGCTGTTGTATTTTTTTGAAATCCAAATAGTTCTTGTCAGTTTGAGATAAAAATAGTTTTGACAAGCGTGTATAACTTGAAGGGGTATAAAAATGTCTAAGTAATTGCCTTGGGCGAAAAATACAGCCAATTAATGCTTAACTGCTCAGACTTTAATCCCTTTCTTCCCTCATACGTATTCCTACAGATGCATTAAACTCCCTGCGGCAAATCTGCAAGTCTGTTTGCCCCAACGATGGTTTTCTTGATCAGGTGATGCAAGACTGTCTTGTAACACTTAATGACATTACATTCTGATATACTCATTTGCAATTAGCCCATAATGAATTTTACTCTTCTATTTTATCCTCGCAGCTAAAAATGTATGAGAATATGGGCTTCAAGGTGGATCATGCCAGCCCCATATATAGGTCCTTTCACCTGAAAGTATTAGGTACACTTTCCTTTCTTTTTTCTTTTCTCCACCTTCTCTCCCTCCCCCTCCACCTCTTTCCTTATGTCCCACATGATCTGTCTTAATGAAGGGATGATTGATACATCATGTTTTCATGTTTTAATTTTTTAAAATTTTGATGTAGGAGCTGATAAAAGAGTTCCATAGAGACTAGGCTATAATTCTTGTGCTTTAAGTGGCAAGTTATCATATTTCTGCTTTGCTTGAGTGTCATGTCATACTCATTATAAAACTTATTGTTAGAAAGATAGTAAGGAACATTGCCTTACCTATTTGGTTGTGCACCATTATAGGCTGGCAATGGATCATGCCATGTCTTTTGACCAGTTGAAAGCAATATATTTCACAAGCCCGACTATATAGAACCATGGGGTAATTAATCGCAATTTAAGCTTTATCTGTCATAGGTCTAAAGAAATTTTTTTCGAGAGAAGTGGATCAAGTGTTTTTTGTTTTCCAATATCAAAACTGCAACCTGTCTCCCCCTGCAGATGTTGAATCAACTTTTGGGTGGTTATTGCCCAATGAGTGTCTTTTAAGAAGTGTGAGGGATGGTGTTTTCGATGGAGTCAATGGTGGATTATTGCTCAACGGATGTCTTTGGGACCATGTGTTTCATTTTGATGCAGTCAGGTCAAATTTTTGATATATTTCGGCCTGCAAATAGGAGCATACTTTGGTGGATGTTGTAGTCCAACTTTGTAGCATATAGATAAAGTCTGTTTTGGATGGTAAATGGAAGAAACTCTGAAAGGAACTCCACAACAACAAAGCCTTTTCCCACTAAGTGGGGTCGGTTGTATGAATCCTAGTTCGCCATTGCACTCGGTTCTGTGCCACGTCTTCCGTTAGTTCCAAGTACTCTCAAGTCTTTTCTTAGAGTCTCTTCCAAAGTCTTCCTAGGTCCTCCTCTACTCCTTCGGCCATGAACCTCTGTCCCGTAATCACATGTTCTGACCGGAGCGTCAGGAGGCCTTTGTTTCACATGTCCAAACCACTGTAACTGATTTTCTCTCATCTTTCCTTCAATTTCGTCTACTCCTACTTTACCACAGATATCCTCATTCCTAATCTTATCCTTTCTCATGTGCCCACACATCCAACGAAGCATCCTCATCTCCGCTAATGGAGTTGAGTTATAACCCTTAAACTAATCGTAATCGTAACGATAAAAATGCTTAGGAGTACTAACATTAAAACAGCTAAAATGATGCTACAGTACCGGTGAACTCTAGCTGAAAATGTCTTGTCCCCTCATCTACCACCTAACCTATTAACAGAAGAAAATAAATGTTTAGTGGAACAGCAGTGACAATTTTGGAAGGAATAGGAAGAAATTTTTCTTTATGTTCATTTACTATGTGCATCTTTTGGGTCAGCACTTACTATGTGCATCGTTTGGGTCAGCACAGGATATGCCATAACATACTCATTTTCGGTGGAGTTTTCAAATTTATTGGTAAATGTGAATTTCTGTTTCGCTGCTATAATTGAAATACGCCCCGTCATTTCAGGTGAATCTTATCATCGTGGGAATAGAATAGACAGTTCTATATTTGGAGCAGATCCTGGTGTGGCTACTGAAGTTGCCTCTGGAGTGGAAGCAACTTCAAATGAAGGAAAAACTGTTAAACCAGCTTTCCGCTGCAAGAAATGTCGAAGAGTTGTTGCATTGCAGGACAATGTTGTGGATCACATTCCGGGTGAGGGAGAGCAATCCTTCGGCTGGCGCAAGCGAAAAAGTAGCAACTCATATAACAAGTCTGAGGATTCTGAATCTGAATGTTCATCCATTTTTATTGAGCCTCTAAAGTGGATGGCAGCAGGTAAATTTACATCTCTCAATTCCTTTTTTGTAGGCTCCTGTCCTTGTGACCTGCTTTGATTAATTTGGATACTGAAGAATTGGATGAGTACTCTTCCATTTTTGTACCCGTATGACCTGCCTTTTCCATTGCCACAATAGTTAATCAAGCAAGTAGCGGACTGTTGTCGAATGGGATTTACTTGGTTTCTTTAATTTGAGTGTTATGACATAATGACATAAATATTACCGTTGTTCAACTTGGATATTATATAATCAATTTGTAGCTTAAGATTCAATTAATTGTGAATTTATTAATTGCTGGTGGCATCTTCTCCATTACACAGTCGAAGAAGGTGCAATGGAAGGAAAGTTGTTCTGTGTGCATTGCGAGGCTCGCTTGGGTTACTTCAATTGGGCAGGCATCCAATGCAGTTGCGGAAGCTGGATCACCCCTGCCTTCCAGCTCCATAAAAGCCGAGTTGACGTCAGCACCATCTAATATCTGTCAAAAAAAAAAGGAGAAAGGGTCCAATACCTATCCAAGGAATATTTAGAACTTTAGTAGTGCCAGGATACCGTGTAACAAGGTATAAAATTTCAGAGACAATCAGCTATCCACAGAGGAAAAGGACTCTTGTTTATCAAGTTTTTCATACTGTGTACTGAGGTTTCAATTGAGCAGTTGCGGCCTGCAGCTAGAAAAATGCAGTGTTGATCTGTCTCATATAAGATTTTGGAGATTCGGGTTTTGTTTTTCGTTCTTTCGTACGGGAGCTCAGTTGGTGACTGAAAATGTTTCCATGGAGGTATGTTTGGCATGAACTGTTATGGTTACAACCAGAATTCAAGTCTGCTTTTTATCTCACTTGATTGATGTAGGGCATGTAATAACATGATAAGGTGGTACACGAAAGTACAAAATAACCTTTTCATCTGTTTGTGTTCAAAGTTCATGATGTTTGGTTAAAATGGTCCATTTGAGAAATTCACAGAACATGTCAGGTTGAGAGATTATCCAACAAAACGTTAAGAGCAAAGGCAGTTGAGATTAACAAAATGTTTTATGTTTTATCGCAAGTGACTCCTTACCACAGTAATGGAAATGAGTTGTGCCCTTGCATCTTGGCATGAGTGTGAATCTCATCAGCTCCTAATCTAACGTCTAATCTGACGAAATCTATTATTTGTATCAAATAGAAAATGATGTTTAAATCATGTCAATTAGATTTTGTTTTTGTAGTTTTGATTTCAAAACAATTCCGTTGGGCCTAATGGCGTAATGAGATTCAAACTTTTAGTAAAATGTTTGGGTAATTTTATTTACACCAAATTAATCTCTCTTTACACCCAACTTATTTTTTATTTTCATTTTATTTTTAATTGAACTATCAATAGCTTTTTAAACCCAAATTTATTACTTAAACTACCCTCACAAACCCAATTTAATATGTAAATTTATTTTTACACCCATCTGAAAATAAAAAACCAAAAAAATCAAAGCATTCTCTCCTCTAACATTCTCTCCTTCCAACAGTTGCTTTTGATGGAATCTCCATCACCCTCTATAGCGTTTCTCTCTCAACTTAGTTTCGTATTTGTCAAGACTTGATAGTATTGGTCAATTTTCTCATTAGATTTGTTGAGAGGAAGTCCTTGAATTGCTGCTTAATCATTCGTTACACTGTAAGAGCTAATTTCTAATATGATTGCAGCACAATGCATGTTCTTATTTGACATATCCTGGGTAGAATTTAGAGACTAAAGTTGTTTTAAGATGTTTTTGAAATTAGGCTCACGTGCCTCATATGTTTTGCATACAAATTTATGTTCCCATGTTTACAATTTGAAAATATTTCTTAAGACCATTTCTTAATTTTCTTTTTTTAATAAGACTCAATTTGGTTTAAGATTCAAAATTGTTTTTAAGTAATAAGCTAAAGTTTTGAGGTATACTTAGAATTTGGTTTTCAAGAACAGGCTTGCCGAACACAAATTTTTGATTTGGAACTCAAAAATTGTTTGAGTTTGAAATAATGAACCCAAGTCCAATACCAAATGGGTCACTTAGTATTACAGTCTAGCGGTATTTCTCTTCACTTGTAAATCTTAGGTTTGTTTCTCGCAAAATGCGAGTTTGAATTATATTATTGTTAGCTCATTTTGAGGCTAAGTCCACTCCCTCTCCTTAATGTAGATAATATCGTTTGTTAAAGAAAAAAAGTCAAGTTTTGGAGGCAGTAGTCTCAGCGTAGTCCAAGTTTGCAAACCTACAAGCTTTTTGGGAGTCTTAATGAAACACTCCTAATACTATTTATAAGCTTTTCATGAAATGACTCTAATATAGAATTGTGGTTAATGAATATTTATCAAGATGGCCAAACTCTAATAGTAAGGCTGAGATAATTTCTACTACATTATGCTTCTTCTGATGCTTATAATAAAATGTGATAGTCTAAAATCTCTCATGTTAATCATGGCCACAACTATACTAACATCTGGTTTACAAATACAACTCTCTATATTATCACAAATACACGGTGAATATATCTTTGTAATAATATTCATCCCTGGTTTGGATCAAAGATGGACTGACACAAAGCACATTATAATTGTAATTGTAACTCTTTCATGGACTGATATTCTGCTCATGATCTCATTTTGCATATCTGGTGACATTATTCTTAATTTTCCTTTTGAAATTTCTTCTAATAAGATATAATCTATTTTTAATCTAATGGTATATTTCTACGAAATCTTTCATATCTTTCTTGTTTTTCTTTATCAGATGCTGATGCTGCTTATTTATTTGATGCTACTGCATTTCACTATCTTCATCCAAGAGCTTAATCTTAATCTCTCTCTCTCTCTCTCTTTTATGGGCTCATTAGCCTCTTATTCTATGGGCTCAATAACTTCTTTTTCTTTATTCTTATACTGATCAGTTTCTATGCCTATTTTTAATTCTCTTTTCAGGGTGTTACTTGCATTTTGCTGCATTATAAGAGATTGGAGTTGTTCATTTTGGTGAACTGATTAAGCAATGCCTTATGGTCTCTAGAAAGGGCTTGGAGCTTGTGTTCAAGAGAATGAATATGATACTAGTTTTGATGAAGATTAAAATTACAACTATCAAACTCTTGTTCTAAAGCTCTAATTAAGTTTTCATGACCTAACCTCATGCTTGACTGCTTGATTTGAACATTTCAAAAATTATCTAAAGGAACCTGCTGTCTATCAGTGAGTCTTGGTACTCTTGACCTATACCTCAAAGTTGGATTTTTGATTCCTTCAACTATAGTGTCATTAAAGTTAAAGGTGGGTACTGATGGTGATGCTGGTCTACTTATTACTATTTTGAAATCCACTAAATGATGGAGGTCCATGTTGGTCTTCTGCCTTGTGATCTTGTGCTATTTGAGAATGATGGTCCACAATATTCCCTTCATGTTCAATTAATTAGTCTTGATAAAATATCAGCTAATGTATTATCACTACCTTTATATATGTTAAAAAAATTGGTTTAAAACCATTTCCTGTAATTGAATCAACAAAATTGACCCATCTTCGGGCTGCCTATTTATTAGTATGTATCTTATTGTAATGAGAAATTATATTTTGACAGTCAGTTCTTATTGTAAATACTTCACTATGTAAAAATAAAGAAAATGCTTCAACTAAGTTAATTATTCCTAAAATTTCTAAATCTGTTACTGGTAATCTTGATTGTACATCATTATATTTTCCTGATGAATATTTACAAACTTGTTCATCAGACTTTGATGTTTCCTTATGCTTTTTCTGATATAGTATTCCTGCCCATCTTAGTGATGATGCATATGTTTCAACTATCTCGTAACTATCATCTAATGATAATGTTAATAGCTTAAGCTTTGTAATTTCTTCTTTTATATTTTGAACTAGAATCTTCAATATTAAAATACTTTTTGTCCTGCTTTGCTAGTTTTACTATGTAATACTGCTATTTTTCTTCCTAAATTAGGGATAAAGTTTATATTAATATTGTTATGTTTTGCTTGTTTTACTATGTAATACTGCTAATTGAAGTATTACAACTTTTACTTGTCTAGCATGACATTTTGAGTGGCTTGTTATGTCATTTGGCCTTAAAAATGCTCCGTTGATCTTTCAAAGAAAGATGGATCAAATTTTCAAAAAATATGATAATTTTTTTAGCTAAATTTAAAACTAATTGGATAATTAAATTATTTTGTCTAATATGGATATTACCACTAGCTATTGGTGCTGAAAAGTTTGTTTGACCTACTGGTTCTTTATCTAACTTACTAATTTCTTTCAAAGCTTGGATATATTTTCTATTTGTTTTAGAACCGGTCATTAAACTAATAATCTATCTATTTTTTATGTACCTTATCTACTTATTCACTCAAATCTTTTTGCACTAATTGGATTTTTTGTACTTCTAATTTTAATTGCTCAACTATTTTTAATGATCTAAGTTCTACTTGCTTAGACTTACTATCTATAAGGTCAATAAGCTCTTTTATCTCTCTTTTGCTAGGAAACCTTTAAATATTATTATTATTATCTTCTAACTAAGATGTAATAAAATCTAGATTTTGCCTAATAGTTTTTATGGAATTTTTCTGAAAATATTCAAACAACTAATTTAATAAATAATTATGCTTATTATTTTCTAGTTTATATTTTTTTTCTTGACTAATAATAAGATTTACAATACTATTGGCTTGTGGATTTTCTTCACTATGTAAAATATGATTATGCTTTCTTAATGGGAAAATAACAAACTAAACTACTTTGGTCTAAAGTAATTTTTGTTTTTTGTGGTTCAGTAATTTCTAAATTAAGATAATCTATCATAAACTACAATCTTTCTTTCTCTAAGATTATGGCTAATTGTTTCTTAAAAACTCTCTTTTATGGCTAATTGTTTCTTAAAAACTCTCTTTCTTCTCTCAGAGTCTCTAAAGTATGATATGTTGCTCTTTTTGCTTCAAATACGTTATGGTACACTTCTGTGTTTTTATATTTACTAATAAATAAAGGGTGTTCAAGATAACCAAAATAAAACTTCTGTTTCTTCAAAGTCTTGCTAATTCTATTAGAAATATTGCTAATTTTCTTTCTATGCTAGTTATAGTTGGGTGTCTAAGACGATAAATATCTGGTGGTTGTTGTTGACATGGTCTACAAGGACAATAATAGCTAGTGTTCTTACAAAATTAAACAAGTGTGTGATATCAGTTATGTTTATAATTTCCGTCCTCAAGGTACCTTACTATTATAATTATACTATTAAAATACTAAACTTAACTCTGATACTAAATTCGAAAAGCAAAGGCCCGGTTAAATAGTCGGATGACCGTTATAACAACTAGACATAAAACCTTGCACATGGAACTTGACATGTTTTAACATGATGGCCACTCACAATGTAGGTATAAGGCTTTAAAGGCTAAACTCAGAGGTACATTGGTTAATGTCCAGTTATTTGTATGGAAAACATTCAACTATAACAAAGTGTTCGAACAAAGTATGATCGTCAGTTTAGTAGGTTAATAATATAACTACGATAGTGTTTTCCTGTTTTGGATTGTAAGGATAATTAAACAAATACACTATACAAAGAAAGAAAACTTACTTAATACTTAAGACTTGGAGATCGCTTGAATATATACACTTGAATTTTTATTGATGTATAAAATGTTTACAAAGAAGTAAGCAAAGGGAGCAAGAAGGCTAAGAGAGCTAACGGCTTTGTCTGTATGTATGGTAGTCGTGTTGGTGTGATGTGGTATGTAGGTGTGGTGTATTTACAATGAGATAAAACTTATCTTTTATACAGGCGTCTCTTTGGGTGCTTGTCAACTTTTTCTTGATTTATCACTTTGCTTCCACTGTTTCTGAATTTGCTGAAAATGTCAGCATGGTTTCTGAAACGTGGACTGAATTATTTGTCTTCTTTTTGCTTTGTCT